TTTTAAATAATTATAGTGAATTTCGGCATCGTGCCTACATGAAATGTGGTGACAGTTGTGATTTCTAAAGTTTATGGAGCGTTTACAGTGATCTCGGTGGAATCAGTAGCCACAACACAACACAGTACATTGCGGAGCATGTGAGTAACTTTTTACTACTGCATTTTAATCGTAAATGATAATACATTCACATCTTTCCTACCACAATATGTTTTCGAATCTATAAAATTAAATATAACACTACCTACTTAATACAAACATTGTGTGTGAGTAACGTAAGTATGTTCTGTTTTCCAATTGCCGTTGTATGTTTAAAATCTTTCGTGGTGTGTTGGCATATTCACATACCTTACCTATTTGAAGTCAATTTAATGGAAAACAGCTATCATCTTGTCGACTGTTTAGATTTAGTAGGACGCGTATTGGGCAATTTCCCGAATGCTGGCTGTAAGTAATATATTTATCAGCGCGTTCCTCATCGGCGCGCGCGCAGTTTACGAGCGGTCGCTCGCTCACCTCCGATAAATCTCGGCTGTAGTAGCCAACTCTTGATTAATGTTTCTGAAGCTTTTCGTTCTTAACAATTTACCCATTAGTTGAAATTTTTAAACAGATCTTTTTTTAATAAAAAAAGTCAAAAGTCAATGTAACAAATATTTGTAGTGGGTAACATTTAAAAAAAATCGATGAAACTCAGAACATTAAGTAATTAGGCACATTATTATCCATTTCTTTAAGGCCCGATTCGACCAAACTTTTATCCGAGATTATCTCCTGGTATAATGACATATTGACAGTGACAGGAAAATATATCAAAGCTGACGATTTATTCTGAGATTAACATTTACTCTTGTTTGGTCGAATCCACCCTAAGTAATTTTAAATCTACGCGTATTATGCTCACCGCTCAGTCTTTTTATGAATCACTAGAGAGGAAAACAATAGTAGGTTATGATCGTATTTGCGGCATAGTTCAGATTATTCATATACCTACAAAGTTCGTCTGCAGAGCTTCAGTCAGGCCAATATAATATCATACATACGAAGATTACTGTAAATTCGTAACGGTAGCAGTAACTAAGTACTCACTTTGGCACATTTGCTGGGCGGAGGCATCGCGGGGCCCTCGGCGCGCTCCACGCGGCCCTCGCGGCGCGACATGCCACTTACGCACTTCGCACTTTCACACGAGAAAACACTTCAAACTCTTCTTAACACTCAAAAGTAAATATATGATATAGTACACATTTTCCATAACGATTTGTTTTTTGTCAAATTGTCATCTTGTGTCTGATTATACACATTTTATCTTATTAACTAAATATTGCACACAGTATTAATTGTCTAGGGCAAATGTTTAATTAAAATCAATTAGAAAAAGTCACATAAAATGATGACTACACAGAGGTCAGAGATTGAAAAATTAGCTCTTAACATTGACTGAAATAATAATTTATTGATTCTGCTTATCGAGATTCTTAGAGCTTAAAAAGATTAAACACTTTTTCATTTATACGAATAAGGTATAAACTGGCAGAGATTGCTTTTATGGCATTAAGTTCGCTTGGCGTACCATTTATGACATTAAAGCATAAAACAATATCTGCAACATTGATGTTAAAATATAGTAGCTGCCTTCACAGCTGAAACGGACGTAAGTTTTAAATGAGTAAACATTTTCTCAGAATTAAATCTAATTTTCCAGAGTCAATATTTACGTTAGTACTACTCGTATTTACTACACTACTGATCGGTTTCTACTAAATAATCACTGGCCGCTAACACACTGACAACTTTGTTGCAACAGTCATTTGCACTTTTCAACACTCTTTCCATCGCTATTTTCTCCTGAAGTCGAAAATTAGCGAATTTTCCCACGGACCGTAGATGCGCGTGCGCTTTCCGCGAACTGGTGCCGACTCGGCGCCCGTCGGCCGCGCTCGGGGAGTCTCGGGATACTAGGAGTAGGTACCTATTCCGCGAGCCGCGGGTTTTATGATCAAACGGCTATTTGGGTCACCACTGGACAGGCAGGGTTAACAAACTCAGTGTTTGAATTAGAAGAAAATTGACAGGTTTTGCCACTCTGTTGTGCTTCCGTGACGCATAACAGAGCGGCAAACGAGACTAAGGTAGAGTTGCACCACCTTATTTTAACCGTGACAATAACGATAACCGGAGTTTTTTGTATGGAGTTTGACAGACTTTTGACGTCTGTTAAAGTTAAAGTAAGATGGTGCAACTCAGCCTTAGCGTAGCGCATCTAGCGGTCAAAAGCTACACGAAATGCCTAGATACTGTGACAGATTCTCATATTTCTCCGTATAATAAAATAATCAATCGTGCATGCCACATCATTTTAAATACGTTATTATTTTAAAAATAAAAGTACATTTGGATAATATTTTTTGTATTTTCAATGCAGAAAATTGTCAACCCTAGCTCAGCGTTCATTCATAAGCTATATTCCCTTGCACTGCTAATAATACGATTGGGAACATCAGTTTTATGGCACGTGCGCCAGACTAGTGTTTCTGGATCTTATACTAAGCCATAGGCTTTACTCTTATTATTATTAGTTATGAATATCTTACTATATTATGAGATGAAGATGTCGTTTCTTTTAGTAGTCTCCATAAATCACTAACTAAAACTTTTTCCTTTTTTTTATCAAAATTCGTAATTGATTAGACCTTAATTTAAAATTAGGATTTAAGAATAAAGATAAATTCACAAATATACTTTTCAAATAGTGGTAATTCAAAAATATAGATGAATAAAAATAAAATACGATTAAATATGGAAGTTTATTTACAGAATCACAACATTACATTGATACACAACAATAAAATAAAACATTTACATTAAATACGCTGCAATACTGCTTTACTATGGAACATTTGTACCAACCTAACTGTAAAGTAATGTATAAGAATAATAAACTATGTCTACTACATTAATATTTAATATTATAGTATAATAGTACCTGTAAACACGGAATGTAATACACATGTAGGTATGTCATAATGAATTCTTCTAGTCTACATTTATAGCGAGTGTCTCTTGTAGAAACAGTGTCAATCTAGCTTCATATTTCTTTCAATCTGAATATTACAAACAAATAATCTTGAATATTGCCTGAAAGGATATGTACTCCACATATAAAATTATTTCAATACTGCTGTGTTACTTTATTTCATAAGCAGTGAGTTCCTCTCTCGAGTCAACATTTAGAATCCTTTTACGGAATGAAGGCTCTAGTCACCAATGGCACTATCAGATACTTTAAAATTACATAATCTGCATAATTCAAGGCTACTGTCTCTTGAAACTTTAAATGCAATGTTTTAAGTAGTTTTGTATATAGAAAAGGAACTCCGGCATGAATTCTAGTAGAATTATTTTACACTAGCTTTCCGCCCGCGGCTTCGCCCGCGTGGAATTTTGTCTGTCACAGAAAAACTTTATCGCGCGCGTCCCTGTTTCGAAAACCGGGATAAAAACTATCCTATGTTCTTTCCCGGGACTCAAACTATCTCTATGCCAAATTTCATCAAAATCGGTTGCGAGGTTTAAGCGGGAAAGCGTAACAGACAGACAGACAGACAGACAGACAGACAGACAGACAGAGTTACTTTCGCATTTATAATATTAGTTGGGATTATAACTTATCAATCACAATTAAAATATTTAAAGAGATAGGTACAGAATAGACAAACAATGAGTAATAAACAAATAGAGGCTGATAATGATAAAGCCACAATATTAAATCGAATTTACGTATAATAAATAATAACAATAATGTATTTATAAAAAAATCATGGTCATTTGCTTTTACCTAAAGTTACTTAAATCTAAACTGGTAAATAATCAGAAACCTGACATCGCGGTAACAACGAACTGTGACATAAATGGATTTACAAGAATAACTTAAAAACCATAGCAATAAGTGTATTGAGGCTCATTTATGAGAGTCCTGCATCTAGCTTCTAGAATTCATCTGAATATCCTCGTTGGGTGGCGCCTTCTGCGCCAGCTGCTCGGCCTCCTGTGGAAATGGTATTTAATTACAGATTTTAACTCTATAAACTTTAACTACTTAGTTCAGTAAAATGACGTGTGATATTGTAGGCAGCTTTAACAAACTAACGTAAAGTGCACGTTTGAATGAGTAAGAGCTCTTACACACGAGCAGCACATTGACGACAGCAAAAGCGACCGCAGTCGCCGTCACTTGTCGGCAGCTAGCCGTCGACGTGCCCGCAGCAAGCTGTCGACACGTCGACGTCTGCCGCCGACGTGTCGACAGCTTGCTGCGACGACCGTGTCGGCGTACGTCTTTGTACAGGAGCCAGTTGAAAATGAATTTCATTGAAGAAACACTGTTGTTGCTTTTACTCCGTCGTCGACGACGAAAGAGAAAGAACCGGTCATTGTGGGTTTAAGAAATGTTATTGAATAGAGAATGAGACTACACACACGCCATTTTTTAATGTTTTATTATGGTAGCCTTCTAAATTCGAGTTAATTGTTTTTGACAGCACTATTTTTTTAGCAATTCCGAATCAATTTGTTCGGAACTCATTATGTGTGCGTGTAAGCTCCTGGACTTCTGACAGTTGACCTTTAAAATGGCGGAGGCAGCTAGCTGTCGCCACCTGCCGGCGGCAGCCGCGAACGCGTCGACAGCACGGCGGCGGCATGTCGACAGCTAGCCGGCGCCTTCTGACGTCAACTGCAGTTACATGCGTCGACAGCAAATTGCTGACCCTCGNAGTGCGTTGGAATTAGCGTGGTAAGTCGAATAAGTTCTATGTAATTACGCTGTTAGTATTTACCCCTGTTAAAACCAGCCCCAGTCTCCCCTACAGCATTTTTTTTTATCAAAATTTATAATTGATTTGACTTTAATGTTAAATTAGGATTTAAAAATAAAGATAAATTCACAAATATACTTTTCAAATAGTGGTAATTCAAAAGATAGATGAATAAAAATAAAATACGATTAAATATGTAAGTTTATTTACAGAATCACAACATTAAATTGATACACAACAATAAAATAAAGCATTTACATTAAATACGCTGCAATACTGCTATACTATGGAACATTTGTACCAACCTAATTGTAAAGTAATGTATAACAATAATAAACTATGTCAACAACATTTAATATTTAATATTATAGTATAATAGTACCTGTAAACACGGAATGTAATACACATGAGTGTATGTATATCATAATGAATTCTTCTAGTCTACATGTATAGCGAGTGTCTCTTGTAGGAACAGTGTCAATCTAGCTTCATGTTTCTTTCAATCTGAATATTACAAACAAATGATCTTGAATATTGCCTGAAAGGCTACTCTATAAAATTATTTCAATACTGCTGCATCAATATAATACATAAGCAGTGAGTTCCTCACTCGAATCAACATTCAGAATCCTTTTATGGAATGAATGCTCTAGTCACCAATGGCACTATCAAATACTTTAAAATCATACAAATGGGCATAATTCAAGGCTGCTGTCTGTTGAAACTTTAAATGCAATGTTTTAAGTAGTTTTGTATATAGAAAAGGAACTCCGGCATGTATTTTAGCATGTTATAATTATTTTACATTATACCTATTCAATCACAATTCAAATATTTTAAAGAGATAGGTACAGAATAGACAAACAATTAGTAATAAACAAATAGAGGCCGATAATGCCACAATAATAAATAGAATTTACGTATAATAATAACAATAATGTCTTAATAAAAAAATCATGGTCATTTGCTTTTACCTAAGGGTACTTATATCTTAGATTGGTAATTAGAAACCTGACATCGCGGTAACAACGAACTGTGACATAAGTGGATTTACAGGAATAACTCAAAAACCATAGCAATAAGTGTATTGAGGCTTGTTTATGAGTGTCCTGCAGTTAGCTTCTAGAATTCATCTGAATATCCTCGTTGGGTGGCGCCTTCTGCGCCAGCTGCTCGGCCTCCTGTGGAAATGGTATTTAATTACAGTTTTTAACTCTTTATACTTTAACTACTTAGTTCAGTAAAATGACGTGTGATATTGTAGGCAGCTTTAACAAACTAACGTAAAGTGCACGTTTGAATGAGTAAGGTCATTCGTATCCTGCGATTGCGCTCTGCACACAAGTCAACATGCGTAAATGTGGTGGTCTAAAGCCTGGTCCGTGAGCACGTAGAATTTTGTCCAATGACCCCAAGCTACCCATCCTTATCGCTCGCGCGTAATTATATTGCTGTCGCGACTGTGCGACGGGCGTCCGCAGTGAGTGTGCGAGCGCAACAGCAACATAATTACGCGCGAGCGATAAGGATGGGTAGCTTGGGGTCATTGGACAAAATTCTACGTGGTCACGGACCAGGCTTTAGCTAATACTCGTAGTACGGTATTGGCTCGTACCTGGATGGTGTCCGGCAGGCGCGTGTTGAGCGTCTCGGGCGTGGTGAGCATGAGCGCGCCGGCCACCAGCGCCGTGGCGCCGAACAGCACCGACGGCAGCCACTCCACGTAGATGGCCTGCAAGAAGGCGCACACAAATTATCATGAATGCCAGACGATCCAGATAATAAATACCAACTTAGTATCTAAAGCAGTGGTTCTTAACCTTTAAGTCATGAGGGACCATTTTACCAAATTTCTATCTTGTCAGGGACCACCTCATAATCGGTCAAAACCAGTTTGCCTGTAAAAATCAGTTAAAAGTGGTTTTAACCAAGGTGTGCAAGTGCACTTTGTGGACCACTTGGAATGTCTCCAGGGACCACCAGTGGTCCGCGGACCACCGGTTAAGAACCACTGATCTAAAGGATTGATACGAAAATGAATCTGCTGTACCAAAATGCGCGCCTACCATCAAAGACCTAGCAACGAGTGTCATACTCGTACCAGAAATATACATCTCATACCTCTAGCATGAACAACTTTCGTCTTCAAATCGTTTTATTCGACAAAACTCTACACTCAACCTTCGAATTAAATTAAACGCTAATGTGACAATTTTGATTCTCAAAATAAGTTTCGTGCGACCAATAATTATCTCATACTAAGTTCACTTTACGACACGTTCACAAGGGCGCAGTTGTAGTTTTCGTACTCAATCTTTTGGTGGCGATTCGAATACGCAAACGATTCAAACTCGAAAGTTTTTCGTGCTAGCCGTACTGGACACACCTGGGCAGCTAGAACTTACCAAGAGCGGCATCTGCGGCGCGAGGATGGAGCCGACGCGGCCCACCATGGAGCAGAAGCCGAGCAGCGAGTGGCGCGCGTGCGTCGGGAACAGCTCCGACGTGTACATGTAGATGCCGCTGAACGCCTGCGTGATGGCGATCTTGCCCAGCAGGTACAGCAGCGTCGCCAGCCAGGAAAGGTCTGAAGAACATTGTGAAAAATCATTCAATAATGATAAAATTTTACGTCCGATCAAGTTGCGTTAACAAANTCAACAAAACACGACACGATAGGTATACTATCATAGTGTCAAAGTGAACAAAGCGTTTTGAGTAAAATGAATTCTAAGGCGGGTTTAAAGATGATGAAACATTAAAATTAGTTTCAGATCTTACCTTTAGGAACAAATGTTATGGCAACACAAGCAAACCCGCACACTACGTATGCGGCCAACAGTGTCCGCTTTCTGCCGATGCGGTCCAGCACCAGCGCGTTGGTGACCACCGCGATCACCTCCACGCTCACCACCAGCATGTAGTTGGTGTACTTGTCCCCGGCCAGCGACACCGAGTTGATGGCCAGCCCGTAGAACACGAACGTGCAAGTGATCCACCACCACGAGCAGATAGCTAAGCGAGTCATTATGATCGGCGAACGCAGCACTTGCATCCACAGCCCTTGCTCATTCTTCGCTTCAAGCTTCTCCTCTATGGGCTTAGTCTTTTCTTCTGTGAGCTGCTTCATAGTTTCATCTGATAACGTCACATTGTTGGTCTTAGCTGCTTTCATAATAATTTCAACTGCCTCATCTTTTCTTCCTTTTGATAATAGCCATCGAATACTTTCTGGGAGGAGGTAAATGTACAGAAGGAATAATAAAGATGGTGGATAGACGACCAGGATGAATGTTCGCCAGTAGGTGAAAGTCTTGGCGAGCATTGCGAAGCTGAGGCCTCCCAACACCAACATAATTCCGAGGAACGCCGTCGTCAGCACTCGCTTGTCTTGTCCAAGTAATTCGATGGCTGAAAAAAAAAGTTGTTGTTTAGTTGTGGCGCTTGCTTTTGGTAGTCTCTATTAATATTAATTAATAGACATGTTAGAGATCCGAGGTTTAACATTGAAAACATTGACTAAGTAATTCATATCATGTGGATAAAAAATAATATTATTACACGAAAGAATCCTGTAGGACTACGGACTACTAGTAGAAACGAAACCAATATGTATATTCCAACGATAAAACTTACTTAAAATGTAAGCAGCCGGGAAGGCACTGGCACCGGCCACGGTTTCCAGGAACTCGACGATGACGTACATCTCGTAGGAGATGGAGAAGGCCTTCAGCGAGCCGATGGCGCCCACCAGCGTGCAGCTCAGGATCAGCGCCTTCTTGCGGCCCCATCTGGAACGCGGTGACAAGGATTTAAAGATAACACCAATTGAAAGACGTCCCTAGACGTCTTGTACTCAGAAAAGTTGGGCCCCCAACCACTTGGGCTAGATAGAGGGCTGATTTTTTTTTATCCACAACGAGGAAGCTCTTGGCCTGTATCACACCTGATGGTAAGTGATGCTCAGGCCGAAGGTGGAAGCGAGCTTCACCCGGAATCCTCGACCACGGAGAAACTGGCTATCTTACCTCTAACTGCCGGAACACAACAATGCTGTTAACATTGTTGTTATGGCGACAGACTTAGGTAATATGGTGGCCAGGCGGACTTAGAACAAGCCCTACCACCAACCAAACCGAACAGAAAAATCTGCCCCCACTGGGAATCGAACCCGGGACCTCTGCGTCTGAAGCAGGTGGTGTTACCACTAGACCACAGAGGCGGTTATTTATTTATCTGAACTAATAATTTGATCCTTTTGTAGGCTTAATTTTTTTACCGATGGAATAAAACGAATATGGTTGGTTATATCCTAAGGTTAAATCCTGTTTATATTTCGCAATATATTTTAAATCTTGAGCGACTAGCTACGAACTGGATGGCAATCACTTTGGCCTATCATATGTAGCATTGAATCACGAATACTTAATTTGCTCACCTGTCGGATATGTACCCAAAGATGGGCAGCGAGACCAGCATGCCGATGTTGTGGATGGTGCCCACCAGAGTGCGCTTCCAGTCCTGGCAGGCGAGATTAAACTGGAATGGAAAATTGTTTCGTTATTAGAATATTTATTACAACATGTAAAATTGAGGAGTACCTAATATATTTGGGACTATTACTTAAAATTAAAATTCTCTATGGTTTTAAAAACAAGGGTAGAGATTTTCTATCCCCATGGTAACGTTTAACTAAAAGCTACATAAAGATTGCGAATCACATTTTAGAAAATACGAAGTTTTTGCTAAACGAATCGTACAATATCACAATGTACCTAAGTGGACCTTTTAACCACAATTTTTAAAATAACATAATAGTCCAATTAACGAGCAGTGTTAGGCAAATTCAAGATCTCCAGTTGCAAAAAAATATTTTTTGTCTGTATCACCACTGTGGCATCTGTAAATAAACCAAGGGTGCGCGCGCGCTGCGTGAACACCTACTGACGCGGAACCAGGGCTGTCACACATTCAGTTTAATTTCATACTAAACAATAAAGACACGAAGCAAAGCATACGAGTAGGTGCTACGAAAAAGCTTCGAGAAAAGCTTGCTATGAGTTAGTCAACATTGGATCCGCAATTTTTAAACTCAGACACTATGTTCTTCTGAACACGCCTTCAATAATTGTCTAAGAATCAATCAAATAAGTATAAAATGAGTCGATCAAATAATTGAGTTGTCAACCCTCACCATCAACAATAAGAGCACCGGGCCGTAGCGCAGTCATTGCTGAATTGCACAATCATTCGCTTGCGATTGTGGACTCAACCGGAATTAAACTGGGATCGATTTAGAAATGTATGTGTTACTCATTTGTATCGTAAATAAAGAAATACAAAGTATACCAAAACTAGGTAAAAGTTACAAGTATACTTTTTCCGGTTTTTAAGCAATACTATGCACGACTGTTTTTGAAACGTGTTAGCTGATCGGCCCACTCCCGCGCAGCGACCGGTGGTCACGCGTTGATGCAACCAATGTCACGGCAAACCATAGCGCTCGCCGCGACCGCATTATTGAATCTACCCATAAAATACCTACTTTATTGCATTAGAATACAAATAAACTTTTATTTTCGTTTAGCAAATTGCTAAAACGGTGGCGAACTTATTATATTAGACGTAACGCTTTTTATGACCCCAACCAACACACGAGTCGATGGCGACAGAAACGACGCAGAAACCCGTCAGGTATTTTAGACCGCAAACATCGCGTGAAAGGACTCTTGTGTCTTGTCCTCTTATCGTAAGTCGGCCATTCTCAGATGAGCTAGTTTTTGCGTGTCCGGGCTGTTAAATCGTTAAAAATGACAAAATAGAGACATGCAAGTATTTTTATATGTTACTTAACAATCCTATCCAGGTGTGCATTAAATCATAGGCCTTTATTTTAAGTATTTGTGTCTAAATTAATTTCACGAACCTCTGTTCCCTAATTACCGTTACGCGTCCGCACACCGACTTAATGTTAAAAGTTGGCTGTAATTTTTATGTCGTAAAGATTTAGTTTACTCCATTCAACATTTTAAAGAGTATAAAAGATTGTCTTATGCATAGCAAAATATCTATTCAATAGAATCATTCTGTNGTTTCCGAGCCATAAGTTATCACTGGTAGGTAACACACAAAATCCTGTTTATATTTCGCAATATATATTTTAAAATATTGAGCGACTAGCTACGAACTGGATGGCAATCACATTGGCCTATGTAGCATTAAATTACGAATACTTAATCTGCTCACCTGTCGGATATGTACCCAAAGATAGGCAGCGAGACCAGCATGCCGATGTTGTGGATGGTGCCCACCAGAGTGCGCTTCCAGTCCTGGCAGGCGAGATTAAACTGGAATGGAAAATTGTTTCGTTATTAGAATAATAAAATACAACATGTAAAATTGATGAGTAATATATTCGGGACTATTACTTAAAATTAAAATTCTCTATGGTTTTAAAAACAAGGGTAGAGATTTTCTATCCCCATGGTAACGTTTAACCAAAAGCTACATAAAGATTGCGAATCACATTTCAGAAAATACGCAGTTTTTGCTAAAAGAATCGTACAATATCACAATGTACCTAAGTGGACCTTTTAACCACAATTTTTAAAATAACATAATAGTCCAATTAACGAGCACTGTTAGGCAAATTCAAGATCCCCAGTTGCAAAAAAATAGTTTTTGTCTGTATCACCACTGTGGCATCTGTAAATAAACCAAGGGTGCGCGCGCGCTGCGTGAACACCTACTGACGCGGAACCAGGGCTGTCACACATTCAGTTTAATTTCATACTAAACGGTGAAGGCACGAAGCAAAGCATACGAGTAGTTGCTACTGAAAAGCTTCGAGAAAAGCTTCCAGAAAAGCTTGCCTTGAGTTAGTCAACATTGTATCCGCAATTTTTAGACGTTACGATATATTAAGCACTTTCCATAGGTGTTGGTTAGATATAACTCAGACACTATGTTCTTCTGAACACGCCTTTAATAATTGTCTAAGCTAAGAATCAATCAAATATAAATAAAATGAGTCGATCAAATAATCGAATTTTCAACTGTCAACCCTCACCATCAACAATAAGAGCACCGGGCCGTAGCGCAGTCATTGCTGAATTGCACAATCATTCGCTTGCGATTGTGGACTCAACCGGAATCGAACTGGGATCGATTTAGGAATGTATGTGTTACTCATTTGTATCGTAAATAAAGCAATACAAAGTATACTAAACCTAGGTAAAAGTTACAAGTAATACTATTTCCGATTTTTAAGCAATACTATGCACGACTGTTTTTGAAGCGTGTTAGTTTTAGTCCTCGCCGTCTGATCGGCCCACTACCGCGCAGCGACCGGTGGTCACGCGTTGATGCAACCAATGTCACGGCAAACCATAGCGCTCGCCGCGACCGCATTATTGAATCTACTCATAAAATACCTACTTTATTGCACTAGAATACAAATAAACTTTTATTTTCGTTTAGAAAATTGCTAAAACGGTGGCGAACTTATATTAGACGTAACGCTGTTAATGACCAACTACCAACCACTGTGTGAAATACTTTTGACATCATTTTATAATTTCTTAAGTTGATGGCGACAAAAACGACGCAGAAACCCGTTAGGTATTTTAAAGCACTCTTGTGTCTTGCCCTCTTATCGTACATCACACCTAATACAAAGACACAAATAAAACAAGTCATAAAATTTTATTCTGTTCTGTCTGTATTAATAAATCTAAAATACAGATATAAAATACTTTCACATTCTATGACGGCAATTGTGAATAATTTCTTAAATATTACACACTAGCGGCCGCCCGCGACTTCGTACGCGTGGATCCCGTTTTACCCCCTTCATCTATCTTACGCGGTTTTAATGTGTTAAACCTCCAATAAAGAATCTAATATTTATTTGACTTTATCAATTCAACGAATTATATTTAAGGCGTTATTCCTAGTTATAACTTTTATAAGTAGTTATGTAGAGTCATCACATGAATTCCGAATCTCTTTGATGTTAACGATGAAGTAGGTATACAACGAATGTAGGTATTTGCTTTTGCGGAATTCAAGTTATTATTTTGTGCAATCAACTTAAAAACGAGTTAGTCTTGGCCTTTTACAGACAATTTTTCTGTTCGCCTTCGATAGCAGCGTCATTTGTATGAATGAAAACAGCGTGCGGTGCGATTGAGAGTCCATCCGCGTTGTCTCAAAACAATGAATGGCTTCTTTTCTGTTGGAGATGCGCGCCCATTCATAGCGGCGCGGACGTGTGCTGCCACACGTTTGCGATGAGACCGCTACAATCCAGTGGGATAAAGAAAAAAAATGGTCATTCCCGAATATTGTTCAAATAAGTGACCTCGCAAATTTTCCATTTACCAAAAAAGACCCTATGATAACAGTCAAGTGACAAAACCCAAGTAAACAAAAGATCATTAATTGTTTAATAAACATACACGAGGTAAAATCCTCATTCAGCAAATAATTCAAGAGCAAAAAGTTGCGGCTGTTTTGTTTGACTGAATGCTATTAGGATTCGGTTTTCCCATATTCATTTGCGTACATAATTCTAGGAAGAATTAGAAGTTTGCTATCTTCAAGAAAAACAAATGACACTACAAAGTGGGTACCAATATTTGGTGTTGTAAAAACAGAGAAACGGAACTTGATCACGATCGTCTTTATATGTAAGAGTTTCTAGTGCTCATCCATAGACATGTTATGTAAACTAGTTCAAAACAAAACCGAGAAAAACAAGGACTGACCAGACTTAGTTCCAAAAAACATAGTAGGTACTTAGACAAAAACTCTTAGATTCTGCAACACATAGGTATTTTAAATATAGCCTAGCTAGACAGTCATGTCATCAAGTCCGTCGGGCTATTTACGTATCGAACTGTATTTATGCATTAATAATCACTTTGTAACCATAGTGTGCGCATTGTCCTTCCGGTGACCTGTCATGCCATGTTACTTCCGGTCTAGCGCGTATAACTTCTCTATATTTCCTGACCTTTACCTTTGAAACCTGTATCCTCTGCATATTTTATCACGCGAAATATTCTAACCCTTTCGGACCGTTCCAATACAATTGTGCGGGTTACAAAATCGAGATTATCTCATTAGTTTTACATCGGAAGTGGATGGGCCGAGTATCGTACGATTGTGCGAGATGCGCTCTTTCACTTCCCGTGCAAATTTTGTACGAAGCGCAGTTGGTGAGCAGGTTACAACCTGTACAGTTCATGACTGATTGCGCTCCCCGACTTGGCGAAAGAAAGTACATACTATGGTTTTATTTTTTAATTGTAGTAATATACAAGTTATTGATTAGACAAATAGTTAAAAATAGCATCTTTTTGTGATAACAGTGACTACTTGTAAGCAAAGGCTTTGGCGTAACGGCTTAACGAACTTTACTGACACAATTGTATCGACGTGGGCCCTACAATACCTTATGCGTATTTTAAGTTTCTCGTAATTATTAATTTTGCATGGTTTCCGCACCATGTTTCCGATTTTTAACGACGCTACTATGGCAGAGATGCTCAATGCATCTGGGGATGAGAGCGATGACAACGACAAAAGCTAGTTTCGAATACTTCAGATGAACTACTCCTCTTCTTCTGATGAAGGCTCAGACATTCATGACGATACATACCTCTGAGTATGCAAGCGGTATAGCAGACGAAGCCCTTCAATCGTCAACATCTTCCAGGAGATGCTGTTCATGATCCAGGAGATATTAAAACTCCATAGGAATATTTCGAGCGCTATATTTACTGTTGAGCTCATGGAACAGCTGGTTTTGCCCACAAATCAATATTAAATAGCAAATACTGGTATAAAAATTAAACCTGTTTATTCCTTACTGGTTATAAATACGTTTTTCGGAATACATGCCATTGATAAAATTTCCAAAACCCTTACAATTTTGACCCTCACAATTGTACGTAGGAAGTGAAGGGCCCCGTTTGATACAATTGTTGGTATATGAATTTTCCAAGATGGCGGCGGAAAATCTGGAAAATTATAGCTAGCAGATTCGTAATCTGCGGCCCCAAATTACCTAAAATTCATGTTCAAAATTACAAATTTCTTTCTAGTTTAAGCGCGGGTCCGAAAGGGCTAATGCATACGAGAAAAATGTCAGTGAAGCTAAAAATACATTGTTGCTTGGAAAAACCGATGCAATAATGGCATTGTTATTAAAATATAACAAAAATACTGTAATTTTTACAATAACAATAATGATTAACATATTAATGTATTGTAATGTTAATTATAATGTAATGTCAGTGTAGTGTCCACTACAGATATAATATCCTACTAATATTATAAATGCGAAAGTTTGGATGTCTGGTATGTGCAAAATTATCTAGTAAGACACTGCGTGGTTTTACTTTCCACATAAGTATTGAAATAATTAACATAAAAAAGGATTTCGATTATTTACCTCAGCCACTATAGTGTCTTTCGAGCCATACACCCAGTGGTGACAAGGCTGCAGCTCGTCGCTGAAGGCGTCCTTTGCGCAGGAGTCGGGCTCGGGCAGCGCTCGCCGCGAGCAACGCTGCTCGCGAGCGCCGCTCGGGAGCGCCAGCCACGCCGGGCTGTACTCCGTCGCGTTGGCCGCCTCGCATTCGGGGATCAGGCACCTGTAAAACGTCCAACACAGGTTCAATGCCTATGTCGTGTCGGGTGTCGATGCTTGAACGTAAACGGTCCCGCGCTGCCGTGCTAGCTTTTGCCAAAAAATGGAGTTACTGCTATCAGCAAACTCCATTTAAAAACTATAATGAGCCCTATTTCAGATGAGCTGAGAGGACTTTTTTAACAGCAAAATATTGGAGTTACTGCCGATATCGCTAGCACGGCAGCGCGGTTGATGATAGATTCATAAAGTAGTTCATCCTGGAAAAAAATAACCAAAATACCTAACTTAAAAAGAATAGATAACGTTTCATCAATCCGATGCGTTGTGTTTAATAGCGAGTCATAAGTTAATGTGATTTCAATACCAATGGTTTAAGCTGCTCTTAAACTGGTGATTTAATTATCAACGAACGCACCAAGCTTTTACCTTACATGACACGATTGACACAGAGTTTTGCAATTGGCGTTGAATTCTAAGTTTCTTTCAACACTTCTTATCAACACTTGCTAAATCTAAATATTTATATAAATCGAAGGTGACTGACTGACTGACTGACAGTCTATTGACAGTATAGTGATCTATCAATGCACAGCCCAAACCACTGGACGGATCGGGCTGAAATTAGGCATGCAGGGTGATGTTATGACGTAGGCATCCGCTAAGAAAGGATTTTACGAAACTCCACCCCTAAAGAGGTAAAACGGGATCCACAAGTACGAAGTCGCGGGCGGCCGCTAGTGCTTCATAAAGGCCCTCTAACCTCTTTAGCCACTTACAGGGCTATAAAATACTTATAAACAACCGTTTTAAACTAAAAAAAATACAATTACAATTATTATTACATACTCGTATTTAGCATGAATGATTGCGCATTAAAATGGGTGAAAACGATGTCAATACTACCTTTCATTCAAATTTTATGTATTATTCACATGTAAAACGAAGGGTAAATTTGAAGATTACTTAATGGAATTATTGCAATAAGCACATTTTTTTCTAATATCTGCTAAAGATATAATATAACACGAATATAATTGGAATATAATACGTGACTTGCGACATATTCTATGGGTATTATCTTTAATAGTGCAGTAGTCTGCATCTCGACCATAATATTGAATCCAAAGCAACGTTCAAGCAAACTATTGTTGATTGTTCTCATCTAAAAGACATGTTAGGTGAACAAAAAGCGACGGTTTTATTCCAAATTATATACATGTCATTTTGTTGTTATTGAACTCTACAAGTGGACACTCAGGGGTGACAATCTTCATCTAATAAAATACTAGTTATTTGGTAGAGATGCAAACAAGTGTTGAACTAACTGATACGAGCTAAAAACCACCATGACGAACATTCTCTTTAGGCTCTTAGAAAACATAATATTTCATATGAAAAAGCAAAGTAAAAAATTAACGTTTTCAATCATTCTTTTCCTGTTCATCAAACAACATCGATGAATGTTTAAGCAACTAGATACATTACCTACTTATAATGTTTCTTTAAAATGTTGGCCCAAAAGTTCAATTTTGATTTTATTACAAGTAGATTGACACTCCCATGTCAGTTTCAGCTGGAGACGCATCCTTAAGTGTAATGACTAGTTTCCTGGGCATCAGCAACAATGGAGATGCAATTAGATTGTACGCCATTAGCCGGACACGTGGCCAGTTCATGGTTAAACAAACGTAGAACTTGCGATTTGCAGTAAACAATACGAGATGTTCTTAAATTTAGCCCTAACTTATAAGCTTAAACACTTTTCTAACAAGTCTCTCTTGTTGGCGACAGATCTGGTAACACCGGTGCTGGGTGTTACCAGACGGTGTTAGCCATCTTGTTTTTCTGCATACTTTTTCGATACGATAGTTTTCTGTTACACGTGATCTAGAATAAATTTGGTTTAAAGTTATAAGCATTTCATTTCTGTAGCTAACACTACTCTTGTGCTTCAAAGGAAGAAATCTCGATGAACCTCATTTCGACAGAAACACAATATCGTGCACCGCCGCGCAGTATCATTGGCGGCGTTACTTTTAAGTCTTCCGACCTAGGTCGTTTAATCACGTTGTTAATTTTTCAAAATCTGTTGTAGAAAGTAACTATCACAACTGAAACTTCAGCAACGAAAAACCATGGACTCAGTTGATGATAGATTTGATTGCGGTACCCTTTGCTCGGGTTCTAGATTATTTTTTGATAGATGTGCCAAGAATCGATTAATATTATTTCTAAGCTATTCTGTAACTAACCAAATTGTGCTGATGTATATTTCGTAAACTATACCACAAAATAACTATACCTTAAAATGACTTAAAAACTGTAATTTGACATATTTATTAAATTCCAATCAGTTCCGCTGAGTGTTTGGTCGCGTCGGGAACAGGCTTCTTGGAGATATGCTATTGCATTGCGTTCATTTTTCTTGCGATTACCTTTGTTTCGATTGACGTCATTATTCGCATACATCGCTATTATTAGCACTATTATGTTTGATGGATGCAAGGTAAATACTGTTGAATGCTAGAATTAAAAACCTAAGCCAGTTATTAAAACGTCAGTGATGGAATCTTTGTGGATTTTCGCCATCTGCGTAAATCGTGGTCCATTTGACTAATAAATGCTTTTTGCCAAATTGGGAAGGTGACAAAGGTCATCCCACCAAAAACATTCTGTAAAAAACTAGCCAAGTCTCGATAGAGCTGCTTGTTTATCTCTAAAAAGTAATGAAATCTAGACAAAGTCGTGCCAAGTCTATGGTTCCTTACTGCAATTTCTTTATTATTATAGTTAGTGTTGTGTGACTTGGCCGTTGAANGCCGGGTCAGCTAGTAATTAACATAAAAAAGGATTTCAATTATTTACCTCGGCCACTATAGTGTCTTTCGAGCCATACACCCAGTGGTGACAAGGCTGCAGCTCGTCGCTGAAGGCGTCCTTTGCGCAGGAGTCGGGCTCGGGCAGCGCTCGCCGCGAGCAACGCTGCTCGCGAGCGCCGCTCGGGAGCGCCAGCCACGCCGGGCTGTACTCCGTCGCGTTGGCCGCCTCGCATTCGGGGATCAGGCACCTGTAAAACGTCCAACACAGGTTCAATGCCTATGTCGTGTTGGGTGTCAATGCTTGAACGTAAACGGTCCCGCGCTGCCGTGCTAGCTTTTGCCAAAAAATGGAGTTTGCTGATAGCAGTAACTCTATTTTTTGGCAAACCTATAATGAGATCTATTTCAGATGAGCTGAGAGGACTTTTTTAACAGCAAAATATTGGAGTTACTAAAATAATAAAATAATAAAATCTTTATTGGCAACAAAAACACTTACATGCACAAACATTGTTGCGTTAGCAACTGCATTAGTCAAGGACTGTGTCGCAGTTGCTAGCGCCCACCTCATACAGGCTGACATTGCAGACTTAAAAGTATTTTTGTTTTAATATTAGACTTAATTTTAATTTTAACTTCTATTTTATAAATTAAATAGTTAAGTTTACACATTATTTAGAAGTAGGTACCTAACTGTGAGTGTGTGTGTATAGTTCGTGCTGAGAGTGCAAGTTTCATTATGATTCGATTTCTCTAGCACGGCAGCGCAGTTGATGATAGATTCATGAAGTAGTTCATCCTGGAAAAAACAACCAAAATACCTAGTTACGAAGAATAGATAACGTTTCATCAATCCGATGCGTTGTGTTTAATAGCGAGTCATAAGTTAATGTGATTTCAATACCAATGGTTTATGCTGCTCTTAAACTGGTGATTTAATTATCAATGAACGCACCAAGCTTTTACCTTACATGACACGATTGACACAGAGTTTTGCAATTGGCGTTGAATTCTAAGTTTCTTTCAACACTTCTTATCAATACTTGCTAAATCTAAATATTTATATAAATCGAAGGTGACTGATTGACTGACATAGTGATCTATCAACGCACAGCCCAAACCACTGGACGGATCGGGCTGAAATTTGGCATGCAGGGTGATGTTATGACGTAGGCATCCGCTAAGAAAGGATTTTATGAAACTCCACCCCTAAAGGGGTAAAACGGGATCCACAAGTACGAAGTCGTGGGCGGCCGCTAGTGCTTCATAAAGGCCCTCTAACCTCTTTAGCCACTTACAGGGCTACAAAATACTTGTATGTATACAAAATATTCAGTAAAATAGAATAAGTAAGCTATTCTAAATGATAAAAACTGTGCCTACTATGGGTACCAGACAGCCGTTGTAAACTAAAAAAAAATATAATTACAATTACAATTATTATTACATACTCGTATATCATGAACTAGCTTTCCGCCCGCGGCTTCGCCCGCGTGGAATTTTGTCTGTCACAGAAAAACTTTATCGCGCGCGTCCCTGTTTCAAAAACCGGGATAAAAACTATCCTATGTTCTTTCCCGGGACTCAAACTATCTCTATGCCAAATTTCATCAAAATCGGTTGCGATGTTTAAGCGGGAAAGCGTAACAGACAGACAGACAGACAGAGTTACTTTCGCATTTAATAATATTAGTTGGGATGATTGCGCATTAAAATGGGTGAAAACGATGTCAATACTACCTTCCATTCAAATTGTATGTATTATTCAAATGTAAAACGAAGGGTAAAATTGAAGATTACTTAATTGAATTATTGCAATAAGCACATTTTTTTCTAATATCTGGTAAAGATATAACACGAATATAATTGGAATATAATACGTGACTTGCGACATATTCTATGGGTATTATCTCAGGGCAGTAGTCTGCATCTCGACCATAATATTGAATCCAAAGCAACGTTCAAGCAAACTATTGTTGATTGTTCTCATCTAAAAGACATGTTAGTTGAACAAAAAGCGACTGTTTTATTCCAAATTAGATGTCATTTTGTTGTTATTGAACTCTACAAGTGTACACTCAGGGGTGACACATCTTCCTCTAATAAAACTAGTTATTTGGTAGAGATGCAAACAAGTGTTGGACTAACTGACCACACAAAAACCACCATGACGAACATTCTCTTTAGGCTCTTAGAAAACATAATATTTCATTTGAAAAAGCAAAGTAAAAAATTATCGTTTTCAATCATTCTTTTCCTGTTCATCAAACAACATCGACGATTTTTTAAGCAACTAGATACATTACTTTTAATGTTTCTTTAAAATGTTGACCCAAAAGTTCAAATTTGATTTTATTACAAGTAGATTGACACTCCCATGTCAGTTTCAGTTGGAGTCGCATCCTTAAGTGTAATGACTGGTTTCCTGGGCATCAGCAACAATGGAGACGCAATTAGATTGTACGCCATTAGCCGGACACGTGGCCAGTTCATGGTTAAACAAACGTAGAACTTGCGTTTTGCAGTGAATGTCCTTAAATTGAGCCTTAACTTATAAGCTTAAACACTTTCCTAAAAAAAATCAAACGTAATATTAAAATAGACCTACTTGTTGGCGACAGATCTGGTAACACTGGTGCTGGGCTATGGACTCTAACCTAGCAACGGTGTTGGCCATCTTGTTTTTATACATACTTTTTCAATACGATAGTTTTCTGTTACACGTGATCTAGAATACAGTTTTGTTTAAAGTTATAAGCAATTCATTTCTGTAGCTAACACTACTCTTGTGCTTCAAAGGATGGAATCTCGATGAACTTCATTTCGGCAGAAACACAATATCGTGCACGGCGCAGTATCATTGGTGGCGTTAAAGTCTTCCGACCTAGGTCTTTTTAATCACGTTGTTATTTTTTCAAAATCTGTTGTAGAAAGTAACTACCACAACTGAAACTTCAGCAACGAAAAACCACTCAGTTGATGATAGATTTGATTGTGGTACCATTTGCTCGGGTTCTAGATTATTTTTTTGATAGATGTGCCAAGAATCGATCAATATTATTTCTAAGCTATTCTGTAACTTGACATACCTATTTATTAAATTCCAATCAGTTTCGCTGTATTTTTGGTCGCGTCGGGAACAGGCTTCTTGGAGCTATGCTATTGCATTGCGTTCATTTTTCTTGCGATTACCTTTGTTTCGATTGACGTCATTATTCGCAAACGTCGCTATTATTAGCACTATTATGTTTGAATGCAAGGTAAATACTGTTTAATGCTAGAATTAAAAACCTAAGCCAGTTATTAAAACGTCAGTGAGGGAGTCTTTGTGGATTTTCGCCAAATCACGGTCCATTTGCCTAATAAATGCTTTTTGTCATAGAAGGAAGGTGACAAAGGTCATTCGTTACTGGTTAATGTTCAAACCTAAATAGTTACGCAACGTTCACATTCATCATAATAGTTATAATGGTCGTTATTACGAATGGGTATTTCAACCTTTTTATGTTTGCAAATAGATTTCGAATACACTGTGTGGTGGGCCATCCTTTAAAATGATAATAATATTTACCTCTACCGCCTCTACCATAATGTGATTAAATGACTGCTATTTGATTTCCAAGTGTAGTTGGGCTTTAATATACCAAAACTGTGCAATCGTCACCTGTACGGGACATCCCCCGCCAGGAATATGAAGGTGGCGTTGTAGACGTCGTTCACGAGCACCACCAGCCCCACCAGCGCGAACAGCGCCAGGTGGAAGCGCCCGCGCACGCCCAGCGACCGACACGTGAGGTCGATGACCGATTCCTCCTCATCATTCACTCTTCGTGACATTTCCACTGACTCTAAGGCTCAATGTCTAATCTCGCTTTGTTACCAATCGGAATGAAGTTAAATGCTATACGATAATAATACACTACAGTAAATCAAACTTACACACACTAGAACTAACTAGTTTACACTAAAACTTAGAAAGCTTAACACGTTGTGTCCGAGTAGGCCTGCGTAGACGAGAAAAAGTAATACGAGAAATTATAACGGGTTCTGTCTGAACTAGTATTGACAGTATTGTTAAAACAGAACAAATTAATACGTTGGCTATTATTGATGTAATTGATAGAACTCTATATTTTTGTGTAATGTTTAAATAACATTTGTTTGTAATGAAAACATAAAAAGTTTCAGTTAAGCTGAGATACAGTTAAAATTTGCGTATTTTTCAATTTGTAAGCATTTATTTAAGACTCGAACCAGGCTGTGAACTCTACATGGAAAATCTCTTGATTTTTTTGTCCTACATAAAGAAGACTGTAATAAACGCCAGAATGATCAAAATAAAATTTAAATGAGTGCTCCGAGTGGCTTGCATGTTGCAGGTTCAATTATCTCCTGCGACGAGCCCAATAGGTCCCAGGACGTGCTCAAGTCCACGAATAATAGCATATTTTATATAATTCTATATTTTCCTACTTACGCCGCTAAAATTCAATTAAACGTACTTTTTGAATTCTTGGTTTCTTGCGACTGATGTTATACAAGTGTCGTCTTTGTAAGTAATTCTTGTAAACGCTACAATGTAACCTTGTTGTTGATCAAATAAATAAATAAATAAGAATACCTACGAAAGCTTATTGCGATGACTTGTAATTGTCACTTATTTGTGAATAAAGTAATAAAGTTCTATTTACTTAACAAATTATTAAAAATATGTAAAAGAAAGAGCAAAGTTATCTGCGGATTTCAACATTAAGGTCAAAACAATAATTATTGGATGATTATTATTTAAATAGATCGTTATTTAACCTAACGTTTCCAGGTTTCTCCTTATCAGGTCAACCGGGATCGAATTCATCTCCAATCGACCAGTCTGCTTCTCTGTCAATTGCAGTTTAATATCTACGTACTATTAAGAACCTTAGGTTGTAGTGACCTCGTAAATAATCAGTTTTGCGTGCCGCAGTCACACAATTTTTCACGCGTCCCACTCATTAACTGCGTGCATTTTAAAGTGGTAGCTGATATTATTAGGGACCTGACTGACATAAAGTATAAATAAAACAAATAAGTAGGTACCTAGTTATTTTTTGGAAAAGAAAATTAATACTATATCCATTTTTTTTATGCATAACAAATAACAAGGCAGGCATTTGACCACATCGCACCTGTTGTTAAGTGGGATGCAGTCTAGGATGGTACCTACGAGTACATAATACATATCTGCCCTTTTATAACGGAAACGGATGCC